TTACGTGAAAGCAGCTGTGGAAACAGTCCCAGCCCCTGGAAACTAAGGCATAGCTCCCTGGCCTTAGTTTCCCCAATGATAACAATACTGCCAGTATATCCCCCTCAATGCAGTGGTCAAAGTCAGAAAGTGGGATCAGCTGGGCATGATGGCACAAGAGTTAGAGACCAGCCTGGGCAACATAGCAAAACCTCGTGAACACAGGAGTTAGAGACCAGCCTGGGCAACAGGGCAAAGCCCTGTGTCTGCAAAAAACTTTTAAAAAAATTAGCCAGTTGCGGTGGCATGTGCTTGTGGTCCCAGCTTCTCAGGACGCTGAGGTAGGAGGATTGCTTGAGCTTGGGAGGTTGAAGCTGCAGTGAGCTGTGATTGCACTACTGCACTCCAGCCTGGGTGACAGAGTGAGACCCTATCACACACGCACACACAAATTGCCTTCCTATTTGTACTAATACATATATACACGCACACGCATATATATGTGTGTGTATATATATGTTTTTTGGCGGGAAGGGGAATGGAGTCTTGCTCTGTCGCCCAGGCTGGAGTGCAATGGCTCATGCCATTCTCCTACCTCAGCCACCCAAGTAGCTGGGACTACAGGTGCCCGCCACCATACCTGACTAATTTTGTGTGTGTGTGTGTGTATTTTAGTAGAGACGGGGTTTCACTGTGTTAGCCAGCATGGTCTCTATCTCCTGACCTCGTGATCTGCCCTCCTCGGTCTCCCAAAGTGCTGGGATTACAGGTGTGAGCCACCGTGCCCGGCCTGTACCACTATATTTTTAACATACCCTCCATATAAATCTTTAAGAGTTTATTTAGTTTTATTGGTACATACTCATTTAATGTTTTCTCAAACAATATAGTAAGTATAGTAAATCATTCCCCCTCCATATTATCTTCAAAGCCAGATGAAAGCACACTCTAACCCACAATGCTACTGTCTATACATGACCATTGGCTAGTTCACGGTTACAGCTAGCTAGCTAGGTCTCCCAGAATGGAAGTATATTACCCAGTGATGAATATTAGTCAACTTCGCCAGGAAATAGCAAGAGCTATTAGATATTTTCAGAATTTTATAATGCTGACAAAAAATAAAAATAAAAAACAAAAAGGTAAAACAAGTCCCTATAGCATGGCATTTATTTCTCAGATTTTTCTCTTTGTCCTTTTAAATACATGTGCACATATCCTATACAGGAATTAAAAAACAAAACAAAACAAAAACTCCTGTGATGACAAAAAAGTCTCGAGTCCAGTATATTACCTGCAATATGTCTCTATGTCTATAATGTGTGCATCAGGGCCGCAGTCAAAGAGGAGATATCTGCACTGTTGATATATACGGCCATTTTATTATTTACCTCATAAGCTAGAAAGGGAAAAAAATAAAAATATTTTACAAAGCGCTATAAACAGCTAAAAGCAAATTTTCTGCCTATATGCCCTTTTGGTTGACAGCAAAACAAAACAAAACAAAAAACAAACAAGATAGCAAGTAAGCGGAAGCTGGAGGCCAGGCCGATCATCTGAGGGGCAGGTCCAAGAAGCCCTGGGCCAACATGATGGAAACCCCTCTCTACTAAAATATAATAATAAGCTGGGCATAGTGGCAGGTGCCTGTAATCCCAGCTACTTGGTGGAGACTGAGGCAGGAAAACTCTCTGAACTTGGGAGGTGGAGGTTGCAGTGAGCCTGAGATTAGTGCCACTGCATCCAGCTAAGGGTGACAGAACAAGATTCCACCTCAAAAAAAAAAAAAAAAAAAAAAGAAGCAAGTAAGATTTAACGTTTCACCCACCAGTATGCCAATAAAGAAACAGAAGACCAAGACCAAAATAACACCACATGACCTGAGAATGTCTGTCATCAAAATTCAGGTGGCCTGGAGAGGCACACATCTTGAATGGAATGCATAATTTCATTAAACATGTCTGTCTTAATATAATCCAGGATCCTATCTAAGAAGTACACAGTTATTTGCAAAATAGCCATTTAACAGAAATCTCTTACCCTTGCCAAAAGTTGTGCAGTTCTGTCTTGGCTTGATCCATTTAAAAGGGGTATTAGATCAGAACTAAAAAGAAGTTCAGTTAAAGGAAACCCATTACTCAAATAGAGTCCTTTAAAACATACTTAAAATAATAAGGTAATTAATAGGTGCCATAAAAGGAATTATGGATTATGTTATAGGGTCTGTGAGAAACAACCTTTTAAATTTTCACCCCAAAGGAATTATGTTTCCTTCATCTTCAAAATGAAGTTCTCTCTTCTTTCCTTGACTGTTACCAAGAGGAAATAAAATTGAGTTTTAAATGATCCACAGATTGGCCAGGTGCGGTGGCTCACGCCTGTAATCCCAGCACATTGGGAGGCTGAGGCGGGCAGATCACAAGGTCAGGAGTTCAAGACCAGCATGGGCAATATGGTGAAAGCCCATCTTTACTAAAAACACAAAAATTAGCCAGTCATGGTGGCCCATGCCTTTAGTCCCAGCTACTCGGGAGGCTGAGGCAGAAGAATCTCTTGAACCCCAGGAGGTGGAGGTTGTCACGAGCCGAGATCGCACCACTGCACTCCAGTCTGGGCAACAGAGTGAGACTCCCTCAAAAAAAAAAAAAAGAAAAGAAAAAAAATCCATAGATTGGCTAACAAGCTACTGAATACTCAGGAACTGGCTTTAAATCCAACATATACAGCCATGTCCTACATGCTGTGGTACTAATCGTCTACATTTCCACTTATAATATGCAATCATCTTTTTGTTTGGTAAAATTGTATTAAATTGCCTTTTCAAATCTGAATAGTGAGAAATCTATTTTTACAAGTGAAATTTGTGTTTGACAGGTTCTGAACCTGCCTGTCCAGAGCGTTTCTTTTGCCTTTTCTGAAACACCACGAACCTTCATCAGGTGGAATGTATTAGCATATGAGCAGCTCAATACAGACCTGAGTTATACTGGACACAGATAAATGCCCAGGCAATGACTATGCTCTCCAATTTTACTGAAGACTTTGTCCTGCCTTGTGACAGTGCCTGGGTGTGGCAAAAAAAAAAAAAAAGATTAAATAGATGCTCTGTAGACTACTAATATAAATCTTCCCTTACAAAATATATGAGAAAGAACAATAGGCCAATAGAATTGAAGCTCCATGAGGGGAGAAAAAACTGCCTCTATCTTATTCACACATAAATGCCTAGCACCTAGTACAGAGCCCAGCACATAGTAGATGCTCATTAAATATTGGTCAAATGAATGAATGAAGGCGAGAGCAATCTCTACTACTGGTTATTCCATACTCATTATATTCATATGTTTATCAGGATAGTATAAAAGTAAACAGAAATGGAAAAAAACTAACTCTTCACAATACTAGCATTTAGTTAAATTTGATTCATCTTATAGATGGGTAGTGATTCACAGACCTTGAGGTTCTGAAACTAAAGAGGTAAAATAAGAGAAAGCTTTCAGGAATAAATAATATTCTAGTTATTGCTTAGTTGACTCATAGTGACATTCTTCCAACCTAGGCATCAAACAAGATGCTTTAGAATACACATCCAGTCCTGATCCTCATGGCCTTAGGTTTCTTATTTAAAAAGAGGGTTAGGCTGAAGTAATTCTACAAAGCCAGTTGCAGGTCTTGCTCTGTCAGCCAGACTGAGTGCAGTGGCGTGATCTCGTTTCACTAAAACCTCTGACCCTCCTGTGACCTGCTGATTTCTTAGGAAATGTTTTTCCTTAAAGGAGTAACAGAAGTATTAGTTCATGAAGCACAAAGAACATAGGAAATGCATAGAAAGAACATTCCTCATTCTCTTTACTTGCTAAATAAAGGCAAGCCCAAAGCAATGCAATCTATGCAATTTATTTGACATGCTAGTAATTTTTGTTGTTGTTGTTGTTGAGACAGAACCTTTCTCTGTCACCCAGGCTGGAGTGCATTGGCACGATCTCAGCTCACTGTAACCTCAACCTTCTAGGTTTAAGGGATTCTTGTGACTCAGCCTCTCAGGTAGCTGGGATTACAGGTGTGTGCCAGCATGTCCAGTAATTTTTAAATTATTAGTAGAGACAGCGTTTTTCTTGTCTTTTTCTTTATCTTTGGATAAGTACAGATGTTACCACAGGATATTCCCCCTACTACTAGTTAACTGCTTTCTTTCTTTCTCTTTCTTTTTTTTTTTTTTTTTTTTTTGAGACAGGTCTTGCTCTGTCACCCAGACTGAGTGCAGTGCAGTGGCATGATCTTGGTTCACTAAAACCTCTGACCCTCCTGCCTCAGGAGGTCCTGCCTCAGCCTCCCGAGTAGCTGAGACCACAGGCCTGTGCCACCAATACAAATTTTTTGTATTTTTAGTGGAGACGGGGTTTTTGGCCCAGGCTGGTCTCGAACCCCTGAGCTCAGGCAATTCACCAAACTCCAACTCCCAAAGTGCTAGGATTACAGGCATGAGTGTCTGTGTCGGGCTATAGCTAACTTATTTCTGAAGAGTTAGTTTGAATACCCATTGAAGTAAGGGGAAATAAATGAAAACATTTTAGTTGTTGCTTTTTTTTATGGTTTTCAGATATCTAGTGGTCCATAGATGGATGGGGTTAAAACCTCACACTAATGAGTAATGAGGACTTTTCTGTGATTATTCCATTTTGGCAGAGTATTGAATAAACTACAGCAGAAGGGGATCTAAGAAACTGGTGAGAAAGGTGAATATGGCAGAGAATATCCTCACTTAGCACCTCTCCAAATTGTCCACCCATATACCCAGATGGAGGACAAGTGAATTCAATTTCCAGAAGACATGAGAGTGTCCACTACAAGCACTAACTTTCTTTTGAAGTCATATATTTAATCTTAAAAACCCAAGCCGGGTGTAGTGGCTCATGGGTGAACTGGGCCAGGACCTGACTTAGGAGGTCTCAGGGAAGCATCAAGCCCTGGGCAAGCCCCTCTCTCCAGAAGCCACCTCCTCACTGCAATGAGTGTCCGCCATGAGGAGCTGCAAGACCTTGTCTGACCCAGTGTCCTGGAGGGGTCAGGTGACCCTCATGGGGAAGGTCACTGACTCTGAGGACTGAAGCCCCAATGGGCACAGCTCGAGCCACCAGCCGCAGCCTGGAAGGGCCAGGTTCTCCCGTGCCTGCTGTCCCCACAGATCTCTCTTGGGCTCACCCTGCACCTGTGGGACATGTATTTGCTGGAAGGGAAACAGGTGTTGATGGCAATAACAAGCATTGCCTTTAAGGTTCAGAGGAGTAAGTCCACGTGTGGCCAGTGGGGCCTGGGGAGCACTAGGGTCAGACCCTGACTGTCCGGAGGGCAGCTTCCTCACACTGTCCTCATGATCCTCTGTTCTGGCCCAGAGGGAGGTCTGTCCGGGAGGGCTGGAGCAGTGCACAATGACACCAAGCCCATTCCCTACATGATGCAGATGAAAGTCGGGAGTGTGGTGAGCACTTTTTTGCCCAGGCTACCCCCCTAGCCACAGCCTTCTGTATATATCTGGACCTCTGGAGTGGCCACGAAAGGATCCGGCATTGCCCAGTGGGAGACCGAAGTGGCCATGGGTTGTGGGCTCTGACCTCTCCCAGGAAACTCTCCTGGCCTTATGCCCACCTTGTCTCTAGAGCGCCTCATGAAGACATCCAGGTCTGGCCTGTGGGCGGGTTTTCAGGACCAGTTATTTCATACCTGGGCCCTGGACGATGATCCTGTTCTGAAACACCTTCGGACTTCTATGAAGAAACTAACAAGGAAGCATGGGGACCTGCCATCCCCAGGTGGACTCCAGTACCAGGTCCCCACCCGAGTTACCCTCTGGGGCAGTCAATAGTGAAGGAGTGCCCAGGACCCCCAACCCTACTCCCTGGACCTTCCTCTTCACCTTTTCCTCCTCCTCTTCCTCCCGGATTCTAAGAATGTACAGTAGACCCACCGGTCCTCAGGGCAGGCGCTCAGTGCGTATGTACTGGACGTGCTGTGCACGCAGGAGGGGCATGTGGGCAAGACCCTCCAATAAGCCCCCTCCCACTTTCCACGGTGGCCCTCTCTTCCCCTCACAGGGCCCTCAAAGGCACTGGAGGAGCCAGACCCATTTGTGGGAGCCCCCACCCCTCCCTGTGAGCACTGACAGCCTCAGAGAGCAGCAGAGGCCCCTCATTCCTGCAGACCCCTCCAAGGGTGCCAGGACAACAAGGCTTGAGCCAGGGAGACGAGGGAATCAGTGTCTCTGACCCCCAGAGCATTCAGGGAGAGGGCACAGGTGGGACCGTGGGCCCAGAGCCAGAGCCAAGAGTTCAGCCAGGTGTGGGAATAGCCAGTCCTGGCATGGACTGAGCAGCCCAGGAGGGCTGAGGGTGACCCACGTCCGGGCCCAATCACCCACTGTGGAGACAGGTCCCCATGTAAAGTGGCAAGGGAGCTGGGTGACAGCCAAGGCCCGTCCCACCTGAGTTCTGACTGGGGGCTGTATCCCAGGCCCAACAGCCCTGGATGAGGGTGTGTGGCAGGAAACCCCCAGCCTGTCTGAACCCTGGGGGGCAGTCCCAGGAGCCACCTGCCATGCCCCAACGTCTTCCCCACCCCAGGTGGCACATACCCCTCCCTCTGGGATCAGCAAACTACAGGTGTGTCCTCAGTGTCAGACCATGGGGGCCACACGGAGACCCTGAGGACTCCAGAGACCCAGGCAGGTGACCTCAGGCCTCAATATCCATCAGCTGCTCTAGTGAATTTTGTGGAAGCTCAGTGAACACCTGCTCTGCAGGGTGCATGTGAAAGGGGCAAGAATGAGTAAGCTGCAGATAAAGAAGACAGGACACAGCGGGTCTGTCTAAGCTCTAGCCCCTGCCTTTAGCACTGATGAAGCAAATCCAATTCTTAGGGAATGGTGGCCACATGCTGGGCCAGCCCCGGGCTGTAAATCTGACAGTGAGTGACACAGAGCCAGGCTTTGCCCTCAAGGAGCTCTCCAGCATACACCTCCCTCTACCCTCCTAGCACCCTGCAAACCAGGCATCAAAGTCATTATCAATGCACAGAGGAGGAACCTGACTGTTAGACAGTTTGATGGGTTTTCCAGGGTCGCACGGCTTCTGGGAGACAGATGTGACCCTGAGGACAGGGCACAGGCCAGTGTAAAGCAACGAAGGGATGAGCTGTGATCTATGCCACGTAGAGGCCTAGGCCAAGGTGGGACTGACTGATGACCAGGTCAGCTAGGTCACTGAAAACACTCTTGGGTGCTCCCCTGCCAGCTCCCAGGAGTCCGGAACTGCCAGGAGGGTGGTGGCAGGTCCCCCATCCTCAGCTGAGTGGGCCCGGATAGAACAGCAAGGCGAGGGCACATTACCCCGGCCATTCCCTCCAGGCGCCGCTGTGACCTGCTCATTCCAATTTTGTGGAAATATTTCCACACACACAGAATTGCAAATAGCAGTGGACGTGATGAGAGGAGTTTAGACATAGGATAGGCAGTGTTTTAGAGGCAGAGCATCCAGGGCTTCCTGATGGGTTAGTTTCAGGGCTTGCGCAGGGAAGGAGAATCGAGGATGATGTGTTCAAATCCGTTCAGTCACCTCCTCCATGCCACACCTGTGCCAGGCACTGGAAGAGACAGATGAGCACAGGAGCCCTGGCCTGAGAGAGGTGTGGGAGGAAGGCCAGAGCATCTACTGGGAGCTGAGGGCTGATGTCCACCTGGGTACCGTCCAGGTTCTCTGCATGGACAAGTACAGGCTGGAGGAGCTGCCTGGACGAGGCATAGCTGTTGTTGGTGGTGACCAGCACATCTGCGAATGGAGACTGCGCCAGCAATGAAGAGGTGGGTGGCCTGAGGTTTGGTTGGTCTAGGGGATGGTAGGGTGTGGGAGGACCAAGGAAAGGGTCTGGGGAATGCAGCACATCCTACAGAGGGCATTTGGGAGTCAGTGCTCGGGCCATCTGGGTCACTCAGGTCATTTGCTGGCCTCCATCATAATTATTGCCATATGGGAGGGCCACCTTTCCTATGATACATTTAATATATTTCTGTGAATGACCTACCTGTTTGTATTTACAAATTCACATTTAAAGGAAACTTGTATCACTCTTACAAATAGAAAGCAGCAAAACACAAATTCAATAAAAATAAAATGAAGTTAATGAATTTTAGCTAGATACTATTCCCTGACCAAGGCCTGTTCTTTCTTTGTTTTTTAAAAAGAGTGATAAGCAATGAGAGAGGTATTAAAGGTCTATTAGCACCAATTCGAGACTGTCTCTCCAGTGCTCAGAAGAATGAAAATGTAATTGAAGGGGAACAACTAAAAAATAAATTATGAAAAGGGAGTAATACTCACCATGGGATTTGACGCTAGTTCTGCTGGGTCACACACCTCCTGAGATCGTGTTGGGTTCCTGGAGAGCCCGCCTGATTTCAGAGACTATAGGACCAATTGCTGTTGCTTCTACCAGGTTCCAAACCAGAAGAGAATCACGGCCCATTAGGAGGCCCTCTGGAGATGCCCTGCTATAAGGCAGGCCGCCTCTGCCAGGGCTGGATGGGAGGAGGCTGGGCTGTTCTGGGTCTCCCACCAAGGGGCAGGGCCCACATGAGTTGCTACAGTTTAGCTGAAGTGAGAGACAGGCTAAACTTGTCAGCTGACAACCAGGTCCTTGGCCAGGTGGCCCACACGTAAACCAACTTTCACTGTGGGCCGTGAACCTTCTCCTGCCAGCTGTGGCCAGGTTTCCAGAGGAAAGGAAAAAACAGTGTTTTTATTCATCCTGGCCTGAGAACTCTGTCATTTCCTCTCTTTCTAGAAACTGAAGAAATCCCTCTTCATGCTGAAAGAGCTCACCAACAAATTCAGGTAAAGCTTTTTCCCTCCTCCTCCTATACCTTCTAACCCTGCCCTGAGGACCCAAAATCTGGCTCAGGGGAAGGAACTGGGTGTAGACACGGGGTCTTCTCAGAGCTGACCAGGCACAGAGGGATCCTGGCTCAGAGGTTTGCCCTTGGAGTGTGTCACGGGTCAAGCCACAGAAACCCAGTCCCTCTCACAGGTCTTCAGGCCAGGCATAGGGGTGGTCATAGGAGTTGGTGACAAGGCTGGGGGGTTGGGAGGACTGGAAGGGGCTGCAACTCCATGCTCCAGCTGGAGGGGGAGAGTCTGGGGCTGGCCCTCCAGGCTGTTGGTGCTGGGTGCTGGGTGCCAGGTGCTGCTTGCATGGGACATGAATCTGTATGTGTCCTCGGGCAGGTATGCCGTGTTTGTCCTCAGCTCCAGCAGGTACCCTCAGTTCTGTGCCTTTGCTTATGACTTCAACCAGAAGCTGTCCCACCTGGGGGCCTCTCAGCTCACCCTGACGTGGGAAGAGGATGAGCTCAGTGGGCAGGAGGATGCCTTCCTCAGCAGGGCCGTGCAAAACTTCAAGGTCGGTTCCCAGCCAGAGCTGCTCCACAGCAGGGACATGACAGGGAGCATTCATGCCTAGGACATCTGTGCTGGGCATCCTGGGTGCATGACCTCTGCCCGTGGTCCTGTAGATGTGGTCCCAGACATGGGCCAGGGCCACGGGCCTGAGGGCGCAGGTCACTGCTGCTCTCCCTCAGCCCCCCAGAAGAGCTCCAACCTGTGCACACCACTCTGGAAGAGGAGGCACAGATCCCCCCCTGCCCTTAGGGAGCTTCTAGTTTAACATCTTTCCCCCACTGACTACCTAGGTCGCCTCTTAACTACTGTGTCTGTTCGGCCATAGAGAGCCTGGGCACAGGCACCACACAGTGGCGGATCCACTTTGGATCCACTCAGTATCTCCACAGCTCTTTATTGCAATGGTTGGCTCCAGTAATTTAGGTAACTCGTCACTCATGCAGTACATCACTCAGCAGTGGTGCTTAGGAGCAACAGTGTGCATCGGGGCAGGCTTGGTTCCAAAGCCCGGGCCTCCTCCATGTGGTTTCACAACACGAAAAGGGGACAATCAGACCTCTCCCAGTGTGGGCATGAGGATACAACAAGATGATGTCAACACTGACATTCATAATGGCGGGGCACAGTGGCGCCTGCATGTAATCCCAGCCCTTTGGGAGGCTGAGGTGGACAGATCACTTGAGTCCCAGAATTTGAAACCAGCCTGGGCAACATGGCAAAACCAGTGTCTACTGAAAATACAGAAAGTTGACTGGGCTTGGTGGTGCACACCTGTAGTCTCAGCTACTCAGGAGGCTGAGGTGGAAGGATTGCGTGAACACGGGGAGGCTGAGGCTTCAGTGAGCTATGATGGCACCACTGTACTCCAGCCTGGGTGACACAGTGAGACCCTGTCTCAAAACAAAAACAAAGCAATATTTATAATAGTAGCAACAGCTACTATGTGCCAAGCCCAGGCACCTCTTTGAGTCCTTGCTGTCACCCTATCAGGTAAGTGTGCTTAGAACTCACATGAAGCCCACGGCTCAGTGTTTAGTCCATGGTAAGGGCCTAAAAAGTGGTAGCCCCGGTGGTGCAGATGCTGCTGCTGCTGACCGTTAACCACAGTCTGCTCCACCTTCTTCCAGGCAGCCTGTGAGACGTTTGATGTCCGAGGCAAACAGCACATTCAGATCCCCAAGCTCTACACCTCCAGTGTGACCTGGGACCCACACCACTACAGGCTCGTGCAGGACTCACAGCCTTTGGACCTCAGCAAGGGTACCTGCTTCTCAGCAGCACACGGGGCTTGTTTGTGTTGGAGTCTGAGCCCTGAGCCCACGGTCAAGGAGACCCCCGGGTCTCCTTCTGAACAGAGACAGCTGGCCTGGGCGCCTCCCTCTCACTGCATGCAAGAGCCTGTTAGGGTGCAAGACTCAAGGCGCTGAGGGAGGCTGTTTCAGGAGGGAGCCCCAGGAGGGTGGTGGAGAGAGAAGGGGACAGCATCTGCTGAGGGCCTACTGTGTGCCGGGCACTGTGCGGGGCTCCTGGCCCACATGGACTAAGTGAGCCTGGACACTCCTCCTGGGAGAAAGGCACAGAAGGAGAAATTGCAGTTCAGGGAGGTGAAGCACGTTGCTAGCCTGTGGCCGTGTTGGGGTCTGAGCCCCCGCCTTCCAGCCGCAAAGGCAGCCAAGGGTCGTGAAGAAGGCGTCGCAGAGGTGATTCCAGGCTGTAGTGGTGAACTCTCCACTCTGCACCCCGGGGTGCTGTGCCCTGTGCCCTGTGCCCTGACTAAGGTAGTCCTGAAGATTTCTACATATTTAAGATTTCCCCAGTGTCAATGATGCTCTCCTGTGGGTCCCAAGCCGTGGAGATGTCCTGGGGCTTTTCATTTTAGGTAACTAAATTGAATTTCCCAACACCTGGAAGCAACACAGCTGCCCTGTATGAGACCAAGGATCTTTATTTGTGATTCAGAAACAGTGGAATAAAAGGAAAGTAAAGAAAACCCCAACGGCCACCTCAGCAGCATGCCCCAAGGGTAGTGTCCAGGTGTCACTGACTCAGACATGTGGGGGCTTCCGCCACCCACGCTCCAGAGCCACTTTGCCATTTCACTGTCTCTGTGTCCTTTGCAGCCCTCAGCAGCATGCACGCCAAGAATGTGTTCACCATGAGGCTCAAATCTCGGCAGAACCTACAGAGTCCGACATCCAGGTAAGGGAAAGTACAGGGCTTCTCAGGTGATGCTCTGTCCATTTTATTTTAATGAATGAAAGGCCAGAAGAAATCAGTCGTTGAAGGAAGAGGAGAGGAGCATCTGCTGGCATTAGCAGCCACACTGTCAGTAGGACCGGCCCACCTGGTAACCCACGGCCACCTGTACTTTTACATCTACTCTTGGTTAACCACGGGCCACTTTTCCAGCTTGGACACTAAGCACCTGCTCCATTTCCTCTCCCTCATTGAACTCTTTCACTAAAAGGAGAGTGCAAGACAGACTTAAACTGTTTGACTCATTCTGAAGAACTTTCAGGAAAAGTGTTGGCAGGGAAGGAAATTTCCCAGCTCTGGGAAACGAGCCTTGTGGATTATCTGCAGGTTTCATTGATCTGTGCGGTCCTCCCTGCGTGCATTAGGAAAACTGGCCTTGGTTCTAATAAGAACAGGGTTTGTCCTGGTGACAAGGAAAGATTTCTTCTGATGTCCATGTATCTCCAAGGGGGATACTTTCTCCAGGCAGAGGCTGTGGCCAAGCACTGGGGGGACTCAGAGGGCTACTGGGAAGGGGTGGGCCCCCTCCTCCCCAGAGGGAAGCTCCCAGGGCCCTCTCAAGCACCCCTGCCTGTGGGAATGCCTCATCCCAAGCTCAGGGTGGTGGCCCAGGCTTGTGGAACCAGCCAGGAAAATGAAAGGAGGGCACACTTCCTGGGGAATCTTGCCTGCCCATCAGGGAGCCCTGGAGGAAATTCTGCAACATCACCTGAAGCTTCTTTTTTTATTTTTATTTTGTGAGATGGAGTCTCACTCAGTCACCCAGGCTGGAGTGCAGTGGAGTGATCTTGGCTCACTGCAACCTCTGCCTTCTGGGCTCAAGCCATTCTCCTGTCTCAGCCTCTGGAGTAGCTGGGATTAGAGGTGCCCGCCACCACGCCCAGCTAATTTTTGTATTTTTAGTAGAGAAGGGCTTCCACCGTGTTGGCCAGTCTGGTTTTGAACTCCTGACCTCAAGTGATCTGCCCACCTTGGCGTCCCAAAGTGCTGGGATTACAGGTATGAGCCAGGGCGTATGACCCACCTGAGGCTTCTTTTTCCTTTCCCAGCCACACCACCATCCTGGTGGAATTCTCTTGTGAGGAGGGCCAAGGCCTGAACTACCTGCCAGGGAAGCACCTTGGGGTTTGTCCAGGCAACCAGCCG